GGAGCCGCAGGGCCCGTGGGCTGGCCGCCGTGTGAGCACTAACCACGCTCCCCTTCCCGCCGCAGGTGCTGCGAGGCCGGGCCATGGACTCAGCGGGGGCACGGACGTGATGTCGGCCCAGGAGCTCGGGGGCCGCCTCTGCGGGGAGGGGGACCGGCACCTGGCCCTGGGGGAGCCCCTGCTGGCCACCGCCTTCTACCTGGCTGCGTTCAGCTGCCACGCCCCCTCAGCCCTGAGGAGCGCCCGGGCCGCCTTGGCCGGGGCCCGGGGGGCACCCGTGGTGGCCACCCTGGAGGCCTGGTGCCGAGGGGAGAGCCAGATCCCGGCCGTCCACTGGGACGGCATGGCAGTGGTGTCCCTGACAGGGACCCTGGCCTCCGCCTTCCTGGCCACCCTGTGCCCCGGCCACCCCGCCGCAGTCCTGCACTCCCTGGCCGGCCTGCTGGCCCGCGGGCGCCACGGGGAGGTGGTGCGGCGCTGCGGCGCCCTGCTGGACGCTCACTCCCAGCAAGCCCTAGAGCTGCGGCTGACCCGAGCCCTGGCCTGGATCCTGTCCGGGGCGCAGGTGGACGCCGGCCTGGCCGACTACCTTCAGGCCTTCGCCTCGACGGCTGACCGCACTGTGGCCTTCACCCTCACCCACCAGCAGCCCTACCTCCCTGTGCTGGTCAGCATCCTCCAGGGCCACATCTCAAGGCGCCAGCAGGCTGGAGACAGCGCCAGCCAGCAGGAGGCCGACTGCCAGAGACTGCTGGCAGCCCTGGACCCCGGGGGCACCTGGGGCAACACCCTGTCACCTGAAGTTCTGCTCCGAGGTGGCAGGTATGAAGACTGCCAGGCAGCGTGCAGCCGGGCCCTTGAGTCCGACCCAACCGGCAGCCGATCCCAAGGTAGGAGTGCGGGTGACGTCCCCCAAGGGTCAGGGTGAAGGTCACTCGAGCCATCTCTTCACAATACAGTCAAGTCCTGCTTATGGGGGGAAGGGGGTTGTGCTGAGGCTGGGGACGCCACAGTGACATTGAACCCCCTCAGCCACCCCTGGAGGTGGGTGTGGCCACATCCCCAGTGCCCATGGAGATGCCAAGGCCACATGGAGTATTCATGGTGAGCTGGAATCTGGCCCCCAGGATGCTCCTAAAGAGGACCCAGCAAAGGGGGAGGGGGCAGGGTGCTGGCGAGGGCAGACGGTGAAGGCAACGGCGTCTGCAAGGTGAAAAGGTGTATGTGGCGAGAGCTGCGGCTGAGACATCCACCAGGAGAGGACAGGAAGTGTCTGTAGAACGTGCCACGGGGAGGTGAGGGTGACCCCAGCGTGGGAGGGGGACCAGAGAGAACTGAAAAGTGAGTGGGAAAACTTGTTTACGGAACTACACTGAACCAGATACCCTGAAATCCTCCCACTATAAAAGCTACAAAAATGCTCAACAGAACCACAAAGAATCCTGAGCTCATGAGCAATTAGGGGACCCTCCATGCCCAAAACACAAACGTGCAGTGGCTGGAGAGCAGGGGTCGATGCCACGGCAGGTTGGGGGCATTAAGCAACTCCCAGGGGGAGGGGGTCGTCCACTTCAATGACCAGTAGAGGCCCTGCAGAAATTCAGAACCCCTAAAGGGCTACAGCCTCGGAGAACCAGTGTGCTGGAAAAACTGCTCCCCCACCACCACCAGGGGAGAGTGTCAGGAAGCATGTCTGTCCTGCCTTGGCTCTGAATTGGGTGGAGCACCTTCCCTAAGAATCACTGCATTAATTAGACCTAAGTCGTCTGTGTCACATGGAGTCACCTCATCACCACCAGAAGCACAAGTGTGGCTCACGACGTGAACAAATAAATTTCCTATCTCAAACTTCTTACAAATGTAGTTTCCCATAGCAAAGGCATTCTAATCTCAAGATTACTTATCAAAAGTCCTTGCAAACATTGAACAACCTTCTATATTTTGGAAAGTGCTCTGTCCTTCTTAGTAAGGAAACACACAGGGACAAGATATAGAGCTTTAACTCAAATCTCCCCGCGTGTAAGCATCTATGTGCCATGGTTTCCTGAGCATGTATCCTCCCAAAGAACCCAGGGCAACCACCTCCTATGCATTCAAGCTTCTTCATTAAGAACTATACAGAAAAATAGCATACATCAAAAACCTACCAAACACATCATACTTAATGGTGATGTTTTAGAAGCCTTCCACTTAAAATCCAGATTGAGGTGGCTGCCTCATTCTTGGGAGCATGTATCCATCACTGTACTAGAGATACTAGCCAATGCAATATGATAAGAAGGGAGAAAAACATGTAAAGCAGAAAGGAAGGAACAAAGTTATCATTATGCCACACAATATAATTAGCTTTGTAGAGACCGCAAAAGAAACAACAAAAAATGTATTAAATACAGGAACAGAATTTAGCAGGATATACAAAAAAGTGTTTGTTTACAGACACCAGCAAGAAATAGAAACTTTTGTGGTTTAAACATATACCAATTACTATAGCAACAGAAAATAATTCATTTCAGAGTAATATGACTTTATGAAGGAAATTATAAAACTTTATTAAAAGATAATAAAGAATAATTATATAAGTAGAGAGGTGTTCAATGTCTATTGTTAGAAAGATTTGACAACATTATAAAAGAGCAAAGGACCAATAATAGACAAGATGAAGAAGGATGGGAGGGGGGAAGAGACAGAGAAAAAAAAGTAGAGATATAAGGATTTGCTCTACTAGTTGATGCAAAACTATACTAACCAATACAGAAGGAGATAGAAAGGCCAATAAAACAAATTGGGCCAGAAACAGAGCTGTATATATCTGGAACTTAATATGTGAGAGTGAGCATTGCAAACCTACAGTGAAAGAAGAGAACTGTTATTCAATGGACGGCACTGATTCTCTACTTCAAACCACATGAAAAAGTAAAGTCTAGGGGGATTATGTCAATAGCTAAGTTTTACAAAAATGAAAGATGTAAGAGAATATCATTAAGACTTCTGTGAACATCTGGGCTTCTTAAGATACAAAAAAATGGAAACAATAAAGGAAAATGTAATACATTTGATGAAATTTTAAAAATTTAACTTCTGTTTTGCCTATAACTACAGAAAATGGCAGGACAAGCCACAGCAGAGAGAGAATATTTGCAAAATGTACATAGGCAAAAAAGTAGTACCCAGAGTATTTGAAGAATTCCTACATGTCACTAAGAAAAAAAATCTGGTGCTAGAATTTGCAAAAGCATTTCCCCTAAGAGAAAACAACGCAGATGGCTAATGAACATGTGGAAAATATCCAACATCGTAGTAATTATACAAATGTGAATGAAAACGAGATACCACTTTCTACCCACCAGATTGGGGAGAAATGTATTTTTAAATAAATGAGCCTCACTAGTCAGCAGGAAAATGAAAATTAAACCAACAATGGGATAGCATTTTATATCCCCTCAGATTGCCAAATTTTTTAAGTCTAACAATAGAAGAGTCTGGCTTCCAGGGATGGTAGAGTAGCTTGACTAGACTGTGTACCCCACAGATAGCAATAATAAAATTTGGACAAAATATAAAATGCAACCATTGGAAGACACTAAACAGCGACCAAATGCAGGCAGAAACTGAAAATTGACCCTTGAAATATGAGGACTGTGGAAGGTGAGGTTTTCATGCTTGTAGCTTTTTGCCTGAGGAAACTGCTCAATCCAGGTTTTATCCACATAAAAATAGAAAACAGCAGTTTTACTGGCTTGTTATGTCACAGAACTGAGTTTGGGCTGAAAATAATAAGTGGCAGGAACGTTAGAAAGGAAGTCCTGAAAAGGAGGGAAGCCACAGAAGGGATGAGACCCAAAGTCCACTCAACTCCTCAGCTGACCCCCAACCTACCACATACAAGGGAGAGACTAGGTGGTCTGGAAAAAGCTGAAGCTGGAAACTGCAAGAACTTAATGGAGATTTCAGCTGCTACTCACCAAATAGACAGAATATGAAGTTTGATTCTATCCAGTTTAACGGCCTGCTCCAACAAAATTCTTTTCTCTTCAGAGGAACATAACTTAATCCAGTCTCTACAAAGCATCAACCAGATGTCTAGTGTACAATAAAAAATTGCTAGACATGCAGGGGGAGGAAACAAGATGGTGGCGTAGGTAACTGCTGTACCCGCCGCCTCCCGCAACCACATCAAAATCACAACTAAAATACAGAACCACCGTCACTCAGAGCCTCCTGAAATCTGGCTGAACAGCCCTACAACCAGGGAACTGAGGAAGCACCGAGACCGGTAGGAGGGGCTGAGACGCGGGCGGATAGGGCTGAATCCCGGAGACGCGGCCGTGGGCCCACACCTGGTGCCGAGGTTGAAACCCGGGAGGGAATCTCGGCGGCAGAGGTTTCCTGGAGGAGGGAGGGGTCCCAGCCCCACAGCAGGCCCCCAGCCCAGGGCTCCAAGGCCAGGAAGAGACGTCCCCACAACTCCGGGCTGTGAAACCAGCAGGGACTGTGGCTGAGGGTCGCAGAGGCTGCAGGAGCCCCAGCAGCTCCTCTCAAAGGGCCGCACATGACTCACTCGGAGGCTCCCTCTGAGCCCAGCGCCGGGCAGCAGCTTGAAAGGAGCTGGGGCACTTGGGGAGGAACTAACCTGCCTTTAATCCGGGCGAGAGGTGGAGGGCGGCTTCCTCCCGGGCAGAAGGGCTGGCGGAGGCCATGGCTCCTCTGGCGAGTCCTCCCCACACACAGCCGGCAGGCAGGCGCCACGTTTGAATCGCCAGCACCTGACTCGTACCTTTGGCCCCGCCCTGTGATTCCCAGAGGCCCCGCCCCTCTCCACCTGCAGCTCATCCAGGCCATTTCCAGGGGTTTTTCTATGCAAGTGGCCTCTGGACCCTCATGCTTAGGACTTTCCTAAAATCTCTCAAACAAGCAGCAGTGGGTCCCCTACCTCTTGATAAGTGGCCCCAGGCCTGGCACTAGGGGCAGCCTGAATTGGCTCATAGCTTGGCCTCTCCTGGGCACCTCCAAGCTCAGCACAAGTAGCAGCCAACTACGGTTTGCTGTGTAGCTCATGCTGGGTGGCCCTGGGCAAGGCACTGATGCACGCTGACTCTGCACCTCCCAGGAGGCCCCAGAGACAGTGCACCTGGTGGTCAGACTCGACCACGCTGGATTACAACCCTACCACATCCACGAGTGACACACTCAAGGGGCGCACTTGGTGAACACCAAAGCCCCACTGAAGTAAATCCTGCTTCATAGGGATGTCTCCAGCACAGCAGCTCTCTGGCTGTAGTTGCAGCTGGTCCTCACAGCTGATTGGCCTCAGGGTCAATTCCTCCCAGTGACGCCAACAGCATCCAAGGTTCAACTACAACTGTTCAGAGCACACAGCCCACACAGGGGAGCACCTAGAAGGCGCAGCTCAGGGAACTGGGGAGGCTGAGCCACTGGGCCCTACAGGACACCTACTACACAAAGCCACTCTACAAACTCCAGGAGACATAGCAGCTCTACCTAATACACAGAAACAAGCACCTGGAAGCAGCCAAAATGCAGAGGCAAAGAAACATGTCACAAAGGAAAGAACAGAAAAAATCTCTAGAAGAGGAACTAAATGAAATAGATCCAAGCACGTTAACAGATACAGAGTTCAGAATTTTGTTTGTAAGGGTGTTTAAGCAGACTATTAGGGAAATAACTGAGAAAATCGATAACATAATAAAGTACCAATTTGAAATAAAGGCTACACAAACTGAAATGAAGAATAATTTACAGGGAGTCAACAGCAGAGTAGAGGACACTGAGAATCAGATCAGCAATTTGGAACATGAGGAAACAAAAAACACCCAACAAGAAGAGCAAAAAGAAAAAAGAATTCAGAAATATGAAAATAGTATAAGGAGCCTCTGGGACAACTGCAAGAGGCCAAACATTCATATTATTGTGATGCCAGAAGGGGAAGAAAGAGAGCAAGAAGTTGAAAACCTATTTGAAAAAAATAATGACAGAAAACTTCCCCTACCTGGGGAAAGAAATTGACTTACAAGTCCAGGAAGCACAGAGGGTCCCAAACAAGAGGAACCCAAAGAGGCCCACAGCAAGACACATCATAATTAAAATGCCAAAGGTTAAAGACAAAGAGAGAATCTTAAAAGCAGCAAGAGAAAAGCA